TGCAATCAATATACTTGGAAATGATAAAATACGTCAATCAAACTGCAACTTGAGCAACCTCCGCCAGTTAAAAGTTACGGGACAGCAAAACATTTTTTATACAAAAATGTAATGGCAATTTGTTGTTTTCTGTGGTGTTCCTGGCATTTTTCCAGTTTGGAGCAACATTTACTGAGCTTTAAATGAGCTTTATTCTGTTGTAGTGACTGTCTTGGATCATAGGAATAACCTGTATGAAATAAAGATGACTAAAATGGGCATATTTTCATTTTAATGTGTTGTGGCATTGTAGTAGATGACCTTCAATCTAAGACAGATTGTCTCAGTCTAAACCAAACTATGCACATGACATAGAGTATATGAATAAAAATCAAAACATCTGGTGCGCAGGTGCATTAATTAAGTGCAGGAAGTGAGATGTATATGTAATTCCTATATGCCCAAAGGATCTTAAACTGTAACAGAATACGTTTGTTTCAGTAGCATCTTAATCGGGACAAAGTGGCAATATGTCATCTAATTCATCTGAAATAGAGTGGTGCAGGAGTCCTAAAACCTGGAAATGAGTTAGTGTTTGTGCACTTCTGGTTCCCTCATCTTGAGATCAGTGGTTTTTTTTGTTTTTTGTTTTTTTTTTTTTGGTTTTTGGTAGGAAGTCTGAAATATGGTCTGTAGTGGACACAAGCTTAAGTGATTTTCATGTTGGCAGTTGCTAACAAGTGGCAAAATGAGACTACAGAATGTCATAATGAACATGGCTTTACAGCCTCGTTGTGGCGGTGACATTGAAGTCATGTGACCATAGTGTAGTTCATTTAAGGCCTATTGTTAGCTTTAACTTGTGGCAATTGCATTTATGCCTCAAATATCATAAAAGCGGTTTGTGAAGATTATCTTGCTGAAAAACAAAATGTGTAAGTATCATAAACATGTGTTGGCCACAGAGCTCATTTTCTGCAATAATCTAAAATCCAATGGAAAAATCCAGTTGGCTTTTTGTTGAGGGAACCAGGGTGATGCTAACTGCTGGGTTGGCACACAGAATAATGTGTCCCTGCAGCACCATATTGCATTGACTGTCACATAATTATTCTCTCTTTGAGACATTTTCTTTAATGAATCAACCCTTACTGTCTGTCATAGCTGCATTTTATAGTTATATTTGTTCTTTTCCCTTTTTTACATCTCTCTGCATTCTAAAAATACAGTTATTATTTGGAGTGTAACATATCAGCCCTAGGACCAGAGTTGGTAATGCAGTGTACAATAAGTGACTGTTTGCATGTTCATTCTGTATGTATATATATGTGTGTGTGTGTGTGTGTGTATGTGTGGATACCTTGAAGTGCAGCTTCCCCTCCTATACAGGTACACAATTGTTGGAGTTATCAGCTTGGCCCATTAATTAGTGTAATTAGTCTTGCTGTGGGCAATAAGGGTCTGATATGAGCTGACGGCCTCCAGCCCACACGCCCTCTCGGACCGTTTACCTTCCCCGATAAGTTTGTGAGCTCGCTAATCGGACACATTAATCACTTTGGCCCCAGCGCGCCATTCCACTGTTTGCTGTTGCATTAAGACTTGTTATCTCTATTGGAGCCAGCGGAGGGTGCGGTAAAACAGAAAGGGGAACAACCTATACCTGCATGCACGGGGACGCAGAATGGCCCTTTAATGGCCATTGTTGAGTATTTTTAATCAGCGTTTACAATGGCTGGCTGTCATCAAAAATGACTGAACGATAGCAAAGTTTTGTTGTTGAAGTGCTCTGGGAAGTTTGCTATCAGGCGGGAGTTCATTGTTTGAAGGAGGTGAGGGGGAAAACTCGATTTTCTCTCAATCTCTTTAACACCAAAATGACCCCAGGCTTGTTAGTCAATAAAGCTATAACAGAGTCCCTGATAGGAGGATTGTTCACAGGCTGTTTGAGGCCATGGACCGTCCCTCAGGAAGCAGGAGCATTGAGGCCACCCTGAAGTGGAGCAGCTCCACAAGCCCTTTGAAGACTTTGCTCTTTTCCACCCTCACTTTGCCTCTTTCTGTCTGATCCGTCTTTATCCCCTCTCTTCTGCCTCCCTGTCTATCTCTGTTTCACTCATCCTATTCTTCATGCTCTCTTTTATCCCAGGATCACTTCTTTAGCTCTTTGATTAGCATACCAAAACCCCCATGCATTTCCCCCATGGTTTAAGTGCTATTCATGCTAATTGGAGGCAGGGAACTTCTCTAAGTAGCTTTCTGCAGGTCTGTTTGTACACCTGGTGGGGGGGCTGTGTGTGTGTGTGTGTGTGTGTGTGTGTGTGTGTGTGTGTGTGTGAGTGTGAGTGAGCGAGAGAGAGAGAGAGAGAGAGAGAGAGATGCAGGCACCTCATGCCCCAGCCTTAACCCCATACCCACAGACCACCTCACCGACACACATAGATGTTCACAGTTTTAAAAGTTGGTCATTGTACGGCAGTTTTTCAGTGAACCTTTTCAGTACTGTAACAGCTGCACTGTTTGAGAGAATTAACATTAGTTTTGCATTGCACCAGCTGATATGAGGGACAGGGCTCCTTGATCAACAAGGAGGAGGATCTAATTTTCAATTTTTCTGGTGTTGAAAAGGAATCCAAAAATAGAATAAAATGGCAAGTCTTATAAAATCCATGACTTAATATGCACAAAATGGCGCTGTACGTATACACCCTTAATACATAAAACCGCAGCAGAACACATTGGGGATAGCTACAATTCATGGTTAATAAGTAAAAATAATTTGCAAGTCAAGGAATGACAGAGCACTTATCAAGACAGATAAGACAAGGCAAGCAACAATATGGCAACAGAGGAGACAACTAGTATCCTCATGTTCACATTACAACTGGGCAGTGACACAGAATCAAAGTTGTATAGCGTGCACTTGTCGTAAATAAAAATGAATTGTTTTCGGTGCTGGTAAAGTAATATGCTGACTGACAGATAGTGCCTTCGTTTGAGCTCTCTATGAGTTTAATGTCATATTTTAGAGTATAGAAGTTTGTGACTTAACCTCTAGGCCACTGGGGTACCGGTGAACCCAAGTCTATCATTTATGTTCAGATGAAAAATAAAAATCTGGCAGCATTGTTGGATTTTTACCATTTGCATCAGAACAAATCTCACCAGTAGAGGTTGGTTAGTGTGAGGTAGCGGGGATCACATAGAGTAGTAGTAGTATTTTGCTAATACTAGCAGTACCAGTAGCTGTAGCACCAACCAAAGCAGCAATCTCTAGGACTGAAAAATGAAGCCAATGCAAAGTGCAAATTATTGCAGTTCCTCTCAAAGTTACTTGAGGCTGGCTCCAAGAGTGACTGTCTGCAGACAGTGTCCTCATGCTGTCAGTCAGATCCACCCCTCACTCCTCCATAGCTCTACCTTTTGTTCAAATATTGTCCAAGATGGCATTGGCCAAAGTGCCCAAAGGCTTCAAAATGGGTGCAGTCACAGTAGCTACATCCATTTTTTATACAGTCTATAAAGCCCCTTTACAGCTAGACAAAAAACCCCCACTGACTTCTGGCCTTTGTCTTAAATCGGAAAGGTTACAATCACCATTCATTCCATGGACAGAAGACCCTGCAGTAGTCACAGATATTTAACGGCTTCAGCTCTGATTAGCAGTGATGGAAACATGACACGCATGTGGGCATGCTAACTTCCGCCTCTCTTGGGTACAGTGCGCTGGTAACTACTGTGACTTTTTGTGATCTCAGCGACAGTTCCATTCGTCTCTGTCTAAGCAGCCCTCGAGCATCATTCAAAATTAGCCGTCACCGAGTTTGTAAGTGACTGGTATGAAAAAGAAGAGGTAACCACTGCAACATTTCTCTGCCCTCCATGCTGCTTTCTACTATTTTCTACTGATGTCGATTTTGACACACCAGAAAAAAACAGAAAGGCATCCTCGTCTCCTGGCAATGGGAAAGGAGTCAATTTACTATTTTAGCTGGTTTAGCTAATTTTGGTGGGAAAAGGGTATAACAGTACCAGTAGCAGCCACATTGGCTTGAATGCAAACATATACATAGAAAGCAACCACAACCAAATGCCTCTGAAATGCATTCTGCCTTAGCACAAAGTCCAATTAAGCTTTCAGAGCTTGGCAAGTGTGATGAATCGAAGGCCTGATGTGTGTGTTTATTTTATCATTAGGACACAACCATCCTCGGAGAGGAGGCACTTTGTGTTATGCTACGGTTAGCACGTGTGGCACTGAAGGAGCAAATTGGATTGGTATTACAGTATGTAAGCCCAGTCTTACATCCTGATGAGCGCCGACAAACAAATTGGATTGGTGGCGTGTAAATCTGAAGCAGTTTGATGAGCCGCAGGCGCAAATTGAATTCTCAACAATGTAAATCTGTATCAGCTCCGTGGCTCTCCGCCCGACTCCAGCCCTGCCGGCGCTTAAATCATGCGATTGTTCCCTGCTGTTCCAAGATACAATCTCTCACGGCCATTTGCTGCGGCACCTAATCTGTTTTTGATGACCCTGTAGGGATGTAGCTATACATATGGGCAACTGAATCTCCCTCTGGCTCACTCTGACTAAATCGCTCTCATTCTTTCTTTTTCTTTTTCCCTCCCTCTCTCTCACAAACACACACTCACAACCTATACAGTTGGCAGAGAGAGATTGCTTTGATTGAGCCATCCATGTGTGTTGATACAAGAGATTACTCAGATGATTGGTCATATTATGGTCCTCCTGTTTTCTCTGGGAAACATTTTGATCTCTGTCTCTGAGATAAGGCAGATGACGTGACGTCTCATATTTATTACTCCTGTGGTGCCTCATTGATTCATACAAATCATATTTATTGCCTTCCTTATTGGCCTTCCTCTCTTGTCTTGTTCCTTGTGCAGCACTTGACTAGAAAATAAAGTTCATCATTATTTGGATACCAAATGTATAAAATACTATAAATGTTTGAGTCTGTATTTTCTATTTACCGATTGTGTTTGTGTCTCTTCAGTTATCCGTACAGTGAAGACAGCAGTCAGGGGAAGCAGTACATGAACACCAGATGTCCCGCCTGGTGTGACCGAATCCTCTTATCTCCCTCTGCCAGAGACCTGGTCTTAAAGGTGAGCTGAAACCTGCCTCCTTTTGATCCAATTCATAGGTTTTGATTGCTTCTAAAAGTCAGATTCCTTCATATTTTAACCAAAATGTCACCACTCTTCCCTCAGCTGAAATACAGGTGTCTTAATAAACATCTCATCCTTTATTTCTACAACTCTATCGTCCTTGATCCACATTACCCTCTGTCGCTTCACAGATGGAAGGATGCGGTGTCTGTGAATATTAATTCTGAGCGCTAAGCCATGGGTCCACCCAGTCAGTATATATATCCCGGCACTTATAGAGTTCCAGTGGGCCCCATCATCTTCATAAAGCCAGAGATCTGTCTCCGTCCTCAGAGAGTGAAACCCCGCAGGCTGCTGCTCAGCTTCAAATCCATCCCAGCATTGTAAACTCCAGCCAATCTGCCACCTCTGTTCGCTGCTCCTGTTCTGTTTGCTGGATTACTGAGAAATTCACCATCCAGCTCTGCAAAGTTTCCCAAGATTTGTTGTTACCCGTTTTTCCATTAGACAGCTTCTTTTGATTTGGAGACAAAAAGCTGCCATGACTGTCAGAGACAATACAGGAAGCAGTTAAGATTCCCAAACACTGGGAGTAAAATCAGCTGTCAAGATCTTAGGCTACATCCACACTAATACTTTTTAAAACACATAACTATTGCTGTCTTTATGCCTAGCATCCACACTACTCTGCATTTCGAAACCCCTTTAAACAGAGATGTTTGAAAAAGCTGCTGACCCTGTTTTGGTTTAAAAACTCCAGGGTTGTGTTTAAAGGCCCAGACACACCTAACCATCAAAGAACTAGTGGCAGTTGTGTTGCCTCACATTGCATGTGTCTTAGCCAAGAGGTTGCATCTGAACACACGGCAAAGCCTACAGCAAACAGCCAACTAGCACCTCGCTCTGTGCCTGCATGAGGAGAAGTAACTCTCCATACCAGCAGGCGGCGGCAGTCTGTATTTGTCATTAAAAAAGGGAAACCAGATGACCGACAGGATGGATTCAAACTCTGGTTCACCAGTTAGCAGATTTACAACAGAACCCGGTGTTGAAAGAGCAAAGAATATTTACTGTGTGGCAGTGAAGAATAACACAAATCATCATGAACCACTTCCATTTTAGCCATTTTTAAGCATTTTTCTGTTGTTATAGCACCACCCAGTTGCCAGTTAGAGTTAAATTTCTTTTTTAGGCCTAGATAAGAAATTAGCTCTCTAGCGCCCCCATTTTGTTTGATCGGATCAATAATGGAGGGGTCCCCTCAGATTATGTGTGGTCATATACCTACAAAGTTGCGTGGTGATCGGTGAAACCCTTGAGATGTTATACACCTTTATGTGATGAGCCACGCCCTCAACAATATTCATTGCCTTATAGAAGCTCAGTTTTAGTAAGTTTTCCAACTTTTGCCAAGAGAGAACTTCAGATATTGGTCCCTAGATTATGTTCACCGAGTTTCATGCAGATTGGTCAAACTTCCTAGGAAGAGATCGATTTTAAGTGTTTTTCAAAAAATTCAAAATGGTGGAAAATCTATATAACCAGAAGTTATGGACTCTTGAGGCAGATTTGTTCCTCATGAGGAGAGGCATCTCTGTGCAAAGTTTCATGTCTCTATGACATACGGGGCATGAGATATGCCCATTCAAAGTTTGCAATTTCAATCGGTTGCTATAGCGCCCCCCTTTAGCCAGTTGATGTAATATTGCTTCATTCACATCCTCCCATGACCCTCTACCACTGTGCCAAATTTCACGTGGACTGACCAAGTCAGTGAGGAGAAAGACGTGGAACAGAGACACAGAGTTTTCGTCATTATATAGTAAGATAACAAGTGACTTAGTTGTTTGTTTACTTTACTTATGATTTTGCTTCTTGTGCATTGAGCTGAACTGCCAATCAGAGATTTTATTCACCAATGGGCTTCTCCAAGAACATGTTGAATAGGCTGAAAAAAGCCAACATGGGCTGACTATGGCCAACGGTGAAGAACACTCCACAAAACTAACAATACGCGACATACCCTCACTGATGGCCCAACTGACCAATGGCCAACCATCAGCTTGGTGTGTCATAGCCTTTAGTCTGGATGGGTGGCAACTGAGACTTTTGGAAACAATGACGCAGACACACGTTTGTTCCCCGATAGAGTCTCATCAGCAACAGCTTGTCAAGTCAAAACATTATAGCTAGGCCTGCACACTTTATGTGGTTTTATCCCTCTTGTGTGGATACTCCTTTCTTGTTGCCATGACTTCCTCTGATGATGAATACTGCTTCCGGTTTTGCTCTGATATGTCACAATATTTGCTTTCTAACGACTCCCAATCGTTTTTCTGCCATCTTGACTGCTTTGTTCTCATGTTACTTTCAGTAACAGTTCCACCTTCTCGCAATGAAATCCCTCGTCCAACTTTTTGACATTTCCATATTTTCTGGTATTTAGCAACCAACCACAGAGCAAACAGTCTGCTTCCTTTTAACCCCTGTATGCTCATGCCCAGTGCATGTGAATGTCATGTTATTTGCATTTTTAAGCATATAAGTATGGATGGAGATCATTTCTGAAATGGTACAGAAATCGTTTTAGTTTGAAAATGCAGTTTGAAAATGAAAACACATTCGTGTGGACGTGGCCTCAGTCCTTTCAGTGCTGAAACATGCAGGCTTTCTTTTGCTGGTGTGTGTGAAAGACACGCAGCAGTGTATTGTACAGGTACAGGCCACAGCAGGGGGCTGCTCAGGAAGTTTGGATTTCTTTTGTGCACCACAAATGAGAAATTCCTTCCTGATCTTTCTTCTTTACAGACTGAAGCCGCACTGGAACAATAACTCTGACCACTGTATTACAGTTGTGAAAAACAAAGGCTGTAATAACACCCAGTTTATTTCACCCACTTAATGTGTCAGAATTATGTAAAAAGTGATTCACACTCACACACACACTCACACACACACACACACACACACAAAGCTGGGATGTTGTTTGCTTTTCTTCCCCTCAAGCACCGGCTAATTGCTTGTAATGCAGGGACAGAGTGGAACAGTTAGTGTGTTCGCAGATTGGCTGATGATTCACTGAGCACACACTCTCTGGCTCCGAGCATTACAGATTGTTGAGACATAGGCCCGTAAACAGCCCGGCGTGCGGCGTCATCTATCATGGCATGGTCGGTTAACTCGCCATCATGTTATTTTCTGCTTGCCGAGCCCTAACACGCCAAAGGTTGCCCGCTGGCTGTGCAGCGCGGCACCAGCTCCGGGAGCGCCGGTAATGAATGTTTAGCCGAGCGAGCGCTCCCTCTCTGCCGGAGGGCCCCGGGTAATTTGTTTATCTGTCTAAAGATTATGCAGCCCGAAAATCCACAATTTTATGCTGCCTTTGTAAATTATCAAGTGTGTGTTTGATGAATGTATCTTGGGCTTTCGGAGGCAGTGGCTCGGGGCCGGCTGCCAGACAAATAGAGAGGTGCCAATGCGTGGCCTGCTAGAAAAGGTAGAGTGAGGTGGAGGCACACCGTGAGCTGACCCCACTCCACCACAGGATTGGTCTGAAGTTAATTTGGATTTCGCTTTATGGTTCATTCTCGAGCTCTCTGTCTCTTTCTTCTGAGGCGCCAGTGCAGCTCACCGAGTCACAACTGGTGGCACCCACCAGCCTGTGTGTGTGTGTGTGTGTGTGTGTGTGTGTGTGTGTGTGTTTGTGGGGGTTGGGGTGGCTTTTTAAAAAGTCTTTAGTTCAACCAGACAAGTGTGATTTATACTCGAGTCTGCAGATTCATGTGTGAGTGGGTAACGGCTTCTTTGTGTGCAGAAAGTGATATTGAAACATGATTCCCTCAGATAGGCACTTAGATTACACTGAGAGAGTATTTGGTCCACAGGCAAATGTCCACTTTGTAAATTACTCCTGCTTTTCATTTCTCTTCACTGCACCAGGTGCAAGTTTCAAAGTGAAAACTGAGGTGCATTCAGTCCAAGGCATACTTGTGGTATTCATAAATCAGATGCTGTGCTACGGCTCTGTTAGAATCTGTAATAACACTTAAATTCAACAAAACACATTTATGGTATTTGTGACATTCAGTTTATATGGCTGGAACAATTAATCAGTAGTTGTCCACTGTGAAATTAATCACCAACTGATTAGATAATCAATTAGTTTGAATAATTTTTTACGGAAAGAAAGTCAAAATTTTCTGATTCCAGCTTCTTAAATGTGAATATTTTCTGGTTTCTTTGCTCCTCTGTGACAGTAGACTGAATATCTTTGGGCTGTGGATGAAACAAGATGTTTGTGGACATCATCTCAGGCTTTGGGAAACTCTAATCGACATTTTTTGCAATTTTCTGACATTTGATAAACCAAACAACTAATCAATTAAATGAGAAAAATATAGACAGATAATAAACAACGAAAGTAATCATTAGTCGCAGCCCTGTTAAAATCCAGCATTATAAATGTTTCCTCAAACAGTCATGTAACTTAAAATAGGCCAATACATTTTTTCACTTCCTGTAAACTGGCTTGATTGAACCAAGTGTCTAAGCACATAATAAACCCTTAATAGTTACAGCTGGTGCTCATTTTGAATTTGTCCCCAGTATTCCCCCAGCTATTTGTGCTAAGTTGCAAAGTGAATGGCTGAGTCAGAATGAATATAAATTAACCAGAAATATTACGCAAATGACACATGAACTGCACAGAGTGACATAATTTTATGTTTTTATTTTATTGGCTCCTAAATAAATTGTTATTGTCCTGGCAGATTTTTACAATTAATTTCAGTGTGACATTGTACACAACCACAACCACAGGAAAAAGGTCTCAGCAATAGGGATATATTTTAATCTCATCGTCGTATGCTCTAGGTTACTTTTATTTTGAAATCAACAACATAATCCTGCTAATTGTGCTTAATGAAGCCGGTACAATAATTTCTCACCCATGAATGTGTCATAAAACATGACACACGTAATATAATGATCAGACTGTGTAAACACAAACACGGTGCTGCTGACTCTGCAGCCTGTGTGTGTTCACTGTGTAGCAGGAGCCGTGCTGCAGCGCAGTGTGGAACCCTCATATCATGTAACAAATAAGACATATTCTTCATCAGGTTTTCATTCCCAAAATGTTTTATTTTGTGTCTCTGCAGCCTGAAAATGAAGAGAAGTCTGTAGTGTATGATAACATCGGGCCCAATGTCTGCATGGGGGACCACAAGGTAACAACGGGGGCTCTGCCCACATCCTCACTGTGCTGTGATTGAACTGTTCACTGTAAACTGATCCTGAATCTGATCCTAGAACGGAAAAGGACCGACCGCTCTCAACACGTGCGTTGTGTGGGGAGACTGCTGTTTGTATTACATACTGTGCATCGGGATATTAATATGTTGCAACTATATGAGGCTGATAATGTTATTAAAGGTTCTAAGATATGGTTTATGATGGTTATGCTACACTGGCTGCCACCTGTATTGATTTTACCGCAACATTTGCATTGAATTGAGCTTTGTCAAGTGCCTTTATTATTATTAGTTTAAGTTTAAAGTTTTAGTTTCCAATAGTGTCAATGCAGTTTCAGATGCTTTACCAGGTGGACAGGATAAATATTTTAAAGCATAATCTGTGTGATCAAGAATTAGGAAAAAATGAACTTGTATAACCAAAATACTCTGTCTGCCCTTAAAAAGTCACCCCTTAATAAGGCTGTTCATATTTAAGGGAGAACCTAAAGAAGTGTGAGAAAGGTCAGAGTAGCACTGAGAGGATTCTTTAAGCTGACTGTATAGAAAGTGTTTAACACTGTCGCTCCAGTCTCCGTGGTGTCAGACACAAGGTCCTGTGCTGAAAGAGAGGCGCCTTAAGTCAGGTCTTTCATCAATACTTAGTGTGCCTTAGACAGTAGTGTGTGTGTGCGAGGTGACCCGAGCACACTGACTGATGCTGCAGCAGCCTTCACCTCCCAGCCACACACTACTGCTAAAATCACAGTTGGCTATGTTTAAAAAATGTCCAATGTAGTTAGCACACGGGCCCAAAAATGCACAGCGCTGGTATGTGAGTTTAACCTGTGTGTCAGAGGTGCTCCGAGAGGCGAAGGGCTCGCACTCATCCCAGAGAGCATCAAGAAAAGTCTTGTTTTCTAACTGCGATTTGTCTCTGTCCCCCTGCCAGCCCGTCTTCCTGTCCTTCCGAATAACAACGGGGGCAGGTAAACCTAATGCAAATAAGCACAAGTGTTGTGTGGTGCAGTGATGTCGTGGTAAATATTAATTTTCTTTATTATAATTCTTCCCATTGTTGCTGATGTTTGCTTTGATTTGCTTGATTTCTCATTACTTTGCACAAATGGTTCTGAGGGCAGATATGCCTGTTTGAAGAGTTTTATGCCAAAATAAAACATCATCAATGGAGAAATGATTGCTTAAAATGCTTCAGTCATTTTAAGACATTTATTTACAAACTTACTGCATCTTGTGCTTTAACTTTGAAAACGGGGGGTCAAGTCATTATTTTGATTGAAATGGCTGCTCGGTATTTATGAATAAAAATCCTTTTTCTCTCCACAGGGAAGTGTTGCCAAAGGGGGGAGAAGATATTCCGTGAAGCGCCTCTGTGAGAACACCGGAGAAACAAACAGGACACCAACATGCACACATGCACACATGCACACAAACACACAACACACACAACACACACACATACACTTTGCACAAGCATACACTGAAGACAAAGTTTTTCAGCAGTGCTGACCAGTTGCAGTTGTCCTGACACCTCATCCATACAAAAATGCAGCCGTTTTCTCTCCATAAGACACTTGTTGAGACGTGGACGAGCACCCCAAGGGCCTGGCTCCAGACAAGACACACATCGCTGACCTCACTGTTGCCATGCAACCCCATTCCCCAGAGAAGAAAAAAACAAGGACGGACGGAAGGACGACTCTTTTCCATGCCACAGCCTCGTTGCCAAAACTCTAATTGAAATCAGTCCTACTACACTTTTAGACACCATACTTGCCATTTTTAGGTATGCCTCTATGTATAGAAGCTACTCTCCACACAGTATGTAAGGTGTTTTAAGAAAAGAAAAGTGCAATGCAAAAAAAGTTGTATATCTATATTGTTAGGTTTATTTGTACATTGGACAGTATAACATAGAGTTGTTGATGGTTTTAGTGCCGTTCTCTTTTCTGACCAAACTTTGTGGTCCCTTTGTTGGAATAGATAGAACTTCTCTGTTTATTTCAACAATTACTATATAAATATATATATATACTTTTTGTTTTGTTTTTGAGTTGTTGTTGTTGTTGTTGTTGTTGTGTGCACAACACACTGCCATGCCTGACACATCAGTTGAGTCTCATTTTATATACTGTACTTTTTAAAGAGATAATTTATAATTCTTACCAAAATGTTTATGCTGAAGTGTGTGCGCAGACAGAGTGACTGTTTGGGTGTTCCTGCAGCCACAGTGACCTTTGAACAGTCAGTGGGAGAGGAGAGACACAGAAAAACGCTGTTCAGTGATTTATTGCCTATCCAAGAATGTTTTAAGCAGTGCCATAGACCATGCAAGTATATAAGATAATGTTTCATATATAGCACTCTCACGTTATTTCATTATTCTTACTCTAACTTATTTCTATAATATTATGGTTCTGAATGTGATATTTTAGATAGGCTTGGGTATCCTTAAAATGTAAACTGTTTTTGTTTGTTTTTTTGTTTTCTCTGTCAGTTTTTGTTACTGCATTATGGTGCCAAGTATCACACAGAGATGAAGTGTGTAAGAGTTATAAAATACTTAAGTCAGATGGTAAAGGTATTGATTATGTAATGTAAAAAAAAATAGAGAGAAACTCTAAATGCGTGAAAGAGCAGGAAGACTTGCTTTTTATTTGTTCCGTGTGTAGCCTTCAGCAGCCTTCATTGCAGATAATTTGAGCATTAAAGAGGCGGTGGGACACGCCAGCGTTTCTTTTTATCGATTTCATTTACGACACTACAGATTTCAGACTGTGTGAAGCCGTCAGATTGATCCTGTGATTTTTTTTTCTTCATCTAAATCACCGCAAGTGGAAATGATTTTGTGCCTGCCGCAGAATTTATGTTGTCTTGTGTGATTTGGTTTGTAGGCAAAACGTTTTTTTCTTCTTCTTCTTCTTCTTTTTTTTTGTAAAAGGCCTGCTTGTTTTCGTTCCTGCTGGTCATTGTGAGCATACTGTAGGAGTATAAGCCGCAGTTCTTTCTTCACTCCATCTTATAAAAAGCAGATAGAGATTTTATTCTAGCCCCTCTCTGGACGGCCTGGCCTCTACTGTAGGTGATGCAGTTCTCAAGCAATAAAAACCATTAGAGCTCACTGGCTGTTTGTCCTCATTACCTCTCATTCTACCTCTTTACTACACAATAAGAGCTCTGTGTGAAAAAAGGTCTTCATCAATTAGCCTTCCTCCAGATCATCACTGTATTAGCAGTGTATTATTACAGCAGTGTTATAGAGTGATAGGGCTTACCAACAGGGAGGAGAATTACACATCGTTTTTTTTCAGGGAGTTGCACTGTGACACCAGCTTTAATTAGTTTAAGATGGACCTACTATCAGCCACCAACGAAATATGATATTCCTACAGGATTATAGTTCATGATATCGATTTAATTTAAGATATTTTTATTTTCTATCCCCTTTGGCACCACCATATTGGCTAATATTCCAGTACCACGTTTTGTATGCACGATAATTTTGCTTAGTTAAGAAATTAGAGCCACTTTTTGCAGTTAAATTTTCATTTTTAATCCCTTTAACGAACATTATTACCCGGGCTGAAGTGAATTATAAGAGTTAGCTGCGACAGGCTGAAGAGAGAGGCATCCCAATGGCAACAGATCATGGAAGTCCGTGTTAAGATGGTTGCAGCCTGCACAATTACAACACAAAAATAACTCTTGGGCGCCTTATTTGATACTAAACCTTCCCGAAAATTAAATTATTCCGAATTTAAGCAACAACTTTAAGGAGGGTTCTGTAGAAATACACTTATAAAACTACCTGTAATATAAAAGATAATTAATTCACAACAAAAGAAAGTTTTGAAAATAAAAATAATAGCCTAATTAAAGTCACTATAAAGCCAACATTAAGCCTGTGTTGTTGGTCATTAGGGTGACTGTAAGAAATTTGAAATGTATAGTTACAAATTCTCTATCAAAGTATTTTTTCTTTTCTTCATCCAGAGCCACATTGTGTGGCAGCAGGTGTTTGCTTCGTGCATTGTTTATCACAGATTCCTAAGTGGCATCTGATTTCATGACTGCTAAGTTCTGATTGGCTGAATCCAGAGCAGACTGTGCAGAAAGATCCCATTGACACTAACTATAGAGAGGAATAGAGAGGTGTAGTACCACCTGACAGACAGAGGGGGAGCACTTCTGTCAATGATCCCAACATTAAAGTGTATAAACTGTTAGGCCTAACACCAGAGATCAGACATTAAAAATATTATAGTTTTCTTTAATTTATTAATAATGGCCTAAACTTGTGGTCATTTTCCTCACAGGAAACAGGAATGGCCCAACAGAGTTAATTAATTCGGAGCTGGGGAAAAATTTAGATGACTACAAAATAAAAGATCTATTATTAAAAGAGAACACTGACTGACTTTAACTTAAATAATCCGCTTTGATTTGTGAATAAAAAAATAGAGCTGCTCATACTAATGATAATAATAATAGTGATAATAATAATAATAATAATAATAATAATAATAGTGATAATGATAATAGTGTTCAACTGTTTTTTTGCTATAACAACAATAATTATAATAATGCTGTTAAGAATCTTTACTCCTTTATGTAACTTATTGAAAAATAAATAAAGTTTATCCCTGGAACCTGTAGGCATTTTTTTTTTTTAAATTTCACTTTGGTGAAAAATTATATATCATCTGGTTTATAATAAATTACACTAACTAAATCAAATATATTGTGACATTATTCTCAATAATTATTATAAAGACTTGCTTCTTTTCCCGCTTCAGAACTTTTTGAAATCATAAATCACTCTCAAGTTAAATCAGCACGAATCCTCTAAAAGCATCTGTGTTGCCAATAATGAAATTCAATTATTGATAGTCATGAATTTATCTTTAATTTATATTAAGCCCATACATTAAAACAAAACCCATAATAAAACAAAAATGCTTGTTAAATAATTTATTCATAATACAAAGTGTTTTTTTTTCTTCCTATAACCTTCCCGGAAGCGATAATACTCTCTTTAATTCCAACATAAACCATGGTCCAGTTTTCTATCCCGCTCTGTGATGGTGAGGTAAAACAGAAACTTTCTCAAATGCAGTCAAAAGAAAAGTGTGCAGTGTGATGTCGTTAAAACAAGCTGCTCTTTACAGTGATTATTTACAGCATTTTGCGTCTATACATTTGTGTGCCGGTGCTGAGCTGACAGTTGTAAAACGTGGGAGAAAAAGGGGCGACATTTACTCTGCAGGAATAAAAACCAAGCAGCAGGTTTTATCTGAGTGGGAATAAGCGCGTCCGGGCTGCGGGGGGAGAAAAGGCTGCCACGTTTCCACTGGTTGAAAACAACATAACTTATTCAGTAAAAAATATATACAATCTCAGGTACATTTTTCATCTTTAGGCTACAGCACAAATCATTCATTCATGTCAAACCTGCGCCCCGTCAAACATTTTATTCTCTCGCCTTTTAGGACAGTGGATACCCTGGTTAAACTGAGCTTTAGAAGCATCACAGGCCCCGTTTACACCTGCCATTTTAAACATGCGTCTGGGATCCGGATCAGAGTTGGCTGCTGAAAAATCACATCTATTAAAAGCTTACAGTCACCTCTTAAAACTATAGAGAACATTTTGTTTCAACCAAAATGGGATTTAATCTGAATTATCTAAAAAAAAAGTGTACATTTTCTTTACTTCAGAATAAAATAGGACTGGGATGTATTTTTCTTCAGATGGAAATATTATAAGTACTGATTATATTACCAATTAATAAAGACATTCTCAGTCAGCATGAGGAATGGCCTTCCTGGCTGGTGAAGGTGACAGAGGCCGCTAATCTTGGGCAGAGGTGTGGCGGGAAATAATGTAACAAGTGTCATGAATTACACTGCGCCAGTCAAGTGAAGCAGCGTTACTTGTGGAATTAAAGTAACGAGTCACACTAATAAACCCAACACTGATCCGGATTGTGTGTTTATAATATTCTGTTTACATTTACACCTGTTGTTAAAACTCCAGTTGTATGCGTAAAAACTGATTTGCGTCGCCAAAACAATTTCCTGTCCCAATATTTCTGTCCTTTTTATCTGACATGAACGTGTCATTATCAGGCTTCTTGAAGTCCAGTTCTGACAGGAGTCATATCTCCGTATTTATAGTCTCTGTAAGTGGGTTTGGATGCAGCCAAATGCGTCTCTGGCCATGTTTTGGTGAGCGCGTCTTTCGTGCGTCTTGGCACACACTTCTACGCATTTTCTTGCTCTGTCTGAGCACAATGCGATCCCCTCAGGCGCATGTTCGTATAGTCAGGTGAAAAAGGGGGTCAGAAAGAGTGCGACAAGTCTCTGCTGGACCCTTTGGTCCCCCTCGTTTTGGCCCCCCAGCTGTGGGCATCACAAGGTGTCCGAGCTGTTACTGCAGGGGCTGATCAGCGCCAGGTTGGTGGCCTTGTGCTTTTTCAACAGTCTCGTGATTTTCTCGTCGTCTGAGTTTGGGTCCAGTGGTTTGTTGTACTCGTCGTCGTCCTCGTTATCCGAGCTTTCCTTCATCTTCTCCGTCTCTGAGTCGTGCTTCTTCTTGGCCGTGGCCATTTCTGCCGCGTGTCTCTTCCGCCATTTGGTTCTTCTGTTCTGGAACCAAACCTGTTGAGGAGGCAGAGACATGCGCACAGATGCTCAACAGGTCCACAAATTAACACGTAATCAAAGGCGAGGATCAGATATGGTCCATTAAACTAACCACAGCAGGTGTAAATAATATAGCAATTACTAATAACAGCAACAACATTATTAAAAATAGCAGTAATAATAATCATTTGAATAATATAGGCGGTGTGTCACTGATCACAAATTACTTTTTATCCTTGGCCTGCGCGGCCAAAAGTGGAATTTCACAGATTATATAAAGGTGAAAGGCGACCAAATATTATTTTCCACATTTCAAAATAAATAAATAAATAGATAAATAACTAGGCTGATTTTTACCTTGACTTGACTCTCGGTCATTCCTAAGGAGTAAGCCAGGCGGGCTCTCTCTGGGCCGGCCAGGTATTTCGTCTGCTCGAAAGTTTTTTCCAGTGCAAAAATCTGCTGTCCTGAAAAGGTCGGTCTAGAGTGTTTCTTCTTGCCATCCTTGTCCAACATTAAATTAGCCTGACCTGGAAAAAAAATAAACAAAAGGGGGGTTGGTTATAATATTGTCAATTGTTAATATTGATAAAGTTCACATGCAATTTGGAAAGTGATGCTCCTATAAGTTAACTCAATATGAGCCTCAAATATTCCTCAAACGCCTCTAAGTGTGTCTAAGCTACGTGGTGAGTATACTGACAAACTATTAATGGTACTATTCTATTATGTATTTATTTATTATTATTAGACTATTATCATTACATGGCTAAGTATCACACTGGAATTTTATTTTCTACTGGGAATTTCCAGAGTGTGATGCTCATAAGTAGCCTTATGGTGATCACGCAGTGCTTAATAACAATAATTTGGCACAGCTATAATATTCACTAGAACAGATTTAGATTTGCTGTGATGACTGTGTAAAATTAATGCATTTATTTTTGCTTGTGTGTGTTTGCTCTGTGTGGTGGCAGGCCTCTGACAGGCCGGAATAATGTCTAAAATCACACGACAAGCAACATTAAAATCATTCTGCAGCCCCACAGAGGTGTGTTGGCTTTTTCTGAATTTACACAGTTCATAAACTAGTCTATTAACCCCTCAATGTGTACAAGCAGACAGGTAGTCAGACATGCAGCACTTACTGGGACAAGGCACCCGCGGGTCCCTCCAGGGAGAACCCTGCATCACCCCGGGCCAGAAGATAGGCGCCCTCCCCGGCAGCTCAGCCAGGGGCTTCGGGTACCGCGACATCGCCGGGCTGAAGTACATCCCCGCGGCTGCGGCGGCCGCGGTGGTGGCCAGGCCGTTTATCCTGGGGAACCCGGAGAGCAGCTGTCCGGCCGTGGTGATGGGTCTCCCCAGGATGTCGCTTATTCCGTGCGGGGTCCCTCCGGTCATCTGGGAGTTGAGGCTGGAGAGATGGGGCGCCTTGAAGCCCGCCGGGCTCTGCTGCAGCGCATACGGGAACAGG